GGGACAGGAAGCGAGGCAAATTTCAGTTAACTGCAAAACTAACAGAGATTTTAAAAGGTTTCCCATTCTATCCAACAATAAAAAAAGGTTTTGTCTGGAGCTACACTTTAACTTTTTATTTACTGTTTCTATATATTTAGAGTATTTTACAGACTATCCACCATCATCAGACCTGTAATTTTATTGATACTGTGCAATGTATGTACAGTATTTATAGTGATAATGGCCAAACCTGGTAAGACAGTCATATATTATAAATTCATCTGTAGCACCTGCATTACTCCATGTCAATGCAGTTGAATCCAAGGTCTTAACAAATATTGGGGCTAGAAAAGAAGAACAAGAGTCCTAAATGTTTATTGTATTATATGTTGGTATCAAAGTATTTCCCTCAAGACTCTGGACTCTCAAAGGCCCAGTTAATGAATAATGCATAACAAGTAAATACAGCCCACATAGTGAACAGATCAAGCTTTTACTTAAAAGTAAACTACACCTTTAAAAAAAATATTAATACATGCACACTTCTTCATAAAAGAAAGGAGCCAGTAAAGTGGGTGCAGTGCTCTGGCTACTGCAGATTCTCCCTCCCATCCCTGTCCGTAGCTCGGTATGGACATTCAGTAACCTGGATAGGAAGAAGAATAAATGGACTACAAGTTTCTTTCTTTTTATTCCAGATCCATAATATCTCAGTCATGGTGAACCAGCTGGAGTCATACGACAAGAATAACGTCTTGGCCGTAAGACGGGAAATTGCCTCTCTGCGTAAGAAACTGGAGGAGTGCGAGAAAAATCAAGGTGTTCCAACTCCTCCTCCTGTCAGTTATGGTAAGTCATTGGCATTAGACTATAAACCTATTAATGACCTTCAGCAACCAATCAGAGTTAAGACTTTACTGATATGACGTGAGACAACTAAAATCTGTTTAGATGTGATGTTAAAGTGTATGTAAACCCTAACAAAGGAATTCTGATTTGCTCCCTTTTGGTCGGTTAAATATACAATTGAAAGTGTTTTTTTTCTACAAGTTCATTAAAAGCATATCTTTTGAACTTGCCAGAAATCCAGGGAGCTTTTAACTTCCTGACAACAAAGTGCTTCTACTGTATTAAAATCCCAAAGAGTCTTATCAGCCCTGCCCACATCGTCACTGGGTATTACACAACACTTTCCCCTTCCCCTCCATGTTCTGAAAATGAGATGGGGAGTGGGGGGGGGATGAGTTCTGTGGTCATAACATGTCACTTACTATAGAGGGGTGGCAGAAGGAAAAACTAATGCAGTCACCAGATATAAATAACTGGTAAGCATCAATATATACATTTTGCTTTCAAACCCAGGCTGGTTGCATGATCCATTTGTAAGGGTTGGATCAGTCATTCAGAACTCCATTTTTCTTATATACAGTCACTCAGACATCTACATTTCTTTATAAAATGCCCAACAATGAAGAATGCCTGGGGCAGACTTTTTTTTGTGCAGGAAATTATATTACTCATTATTTATCTATCACAGCAACACAGATAATATACATTTATGTACACATTTCTGTATATACTTTATAATCTTAGATTAGTAAGTTTTCCAAATGTCTTTGTATTCATATCACTTTTAGTCTTTATTCGCTATATTTTTTATTTTAGTTTAAAAAAAACAAAAACAAAAGACCATAATTGGCAAATACTTCACATGGGACATTTACTTTTTCATTTTAAAAAAATCTAGATATATGAAATGAATACATAAAACCAAGTATACATACTTTACATTTATGTTTTTTAAATCCACAGGTACCTGCAAACACGGCAGTCTTAAAAACATCAGCAAGCCATTTGTGGTGCAGTTGAACTGGCTAGGATTCAACTACAAGTTCGGAGGTTGGGGCAAGGACTCTTTTGTAGGTGCTGGTCAGGATGTACACTGGGTGGCCCCTCTAACCACAGATGCTCGCACCATGAACATCTTGAGATTATACCCTACCTATGATGATCTCTTGCTCTACAAGAGACCCACAGATAAAGTTCTCACCAAGACTCTGTCTTACAACAATATTGACTATTCCGGCTGTGGGCAAGGTGGTGGTATGATCTTGTTCAACAACTCCATGTATTACAACTGCTACAACACCAGGGACATCTGCAAATACAATGTGGACACTGGTGCACTAGAGAGGAAAACGCTCACAGATGCCACCTTCAACAACCGCTTCTCCTATGCATCGTCTCTCTGGCAAGACATTGACCTTGCTAGCGATGAAGATGGTGTTTGGGCCATCTCCTCTACGGAGGGGAATTCTGGAAACATCGTCATAAGTAAGCTCAACTCAACCACTCTAACCGTGGAGAAAAGTTGGTCTACTGCCCAGTACAAACCTGCTGTTACCAACGCTTTCATGGTTTGTGGGGTCCTGTATGCAACTAGAACCCTCAGCACCCGAAAGGAGGAAATATTCTATATGTATGACACCAGGACAAGCACAGAGGAGAAAATCAGCATTGTCCTTGACAAGATGATGGAGAATGTACAGAGTGTGAGCTACAACCCTAATGATCACAAGCTCTTCATGTACAATGATGGCTACTTGGTTACTTATGATCTTGCCTTCAAGCCACAGGAAAATGCTATGTAAAACTTTCCATAACTAAATGAAATGTAATTCCTCTTAAAACCCCCTATTTGGTTTTAGGCAGATGACATTTGGGTCAAGCATGATTGCAGTGTAATGAAAAATAGCTAATCAACATGGGAAATGCCAACCTACCGGCAGCTCAGAAAAACATGTAGAAGAGAATTGTCCTTGGGTGATGTGCCTATAAATGGGAAATCTAGCTGATCATATGAATCTTTTTAATAGGAGCCACCATTAAAGTGAATACACAGTATGAGAGCAGAAATATGGGAGCTGCAATTGCTGATTTGCCTTCTGAAGTTGCAGGCTTGGGGCTGTGAACCTGAAGCTGACTTTGCTAGGCAGCAAGCCACTGACCTGGAACAAGCAGGCAGCCAGTGAGGTTGGAAAAGTCTAAACGTTAGCTATGTTGCTCCTTAGACATGCAAAACTAACATCAGGAGAACAACCTCTTAACCTGTACTATAAAAAAAAAGCTCAACCCTACATCAGCTTTCAGTGTCTGTACCCAAATACCAGGCAATTCAGATTGGGCAATGCTTCAGCACATCCTGGTATTCTTAGAGCTTGCTGACCGCTCTCAACTCCCACACTCTCCTATTAGCCAGTGGTGGACCTACAGGTATTTAAGAAGACAAGAAGGAGCTGGCAAGCAAAAAGTGCTGGAGTTTTGGCTGATAAGAACTGTACACCCAAGAAGGTTGAAAACCCTTAGATGCCGGCACTTTATACTTATCAACAGCTTGTGACAAAGTCAAATTAAAACAAGTCGGTAATGGCAACTTTCACATTTCTGTCCTGACAAGTTCCTGTTGAAGATTTGTATGATCTGTTAAGCTTTGAGCATAAAGACATGAATATAGTCAATCCAGCCAATCTGTTCTGGGCTTTCACATTTGCAGCTGTGGTTTGGCCCACTAATGTTAAATCTGGTCAGTTTAATTAAATGTATTGTAAAAAGGTCTGCTATATTTTGTTTGTACTCTCTGTCAGAACACTGAAAACCTGTCCTTGCAAAAGGCAGTCTGAATGCATGAGCATAATACTGCACCATACTGATTTTTTTTGTGTGTATGCTAATAAATAAATATACACTGCATAGCTCTCTAGTCTGCCCTGTGTATTTTTTCTATAGGAATTCTAAATGAACCATGCCTTGGTGATTCTAGGCTTCTTCATGATAGTATATACATAGGAATACACTCTTTTTTTATACTAAATAAACTATGCCTTGGTGGTTCTAGGTTTCTTCAGGATAGTATATACATAGGAATACACTCTTTTTTTATACTAAATAAACCATGCCTTGGTGGTTCTGAGTTTCTTCATCATACAACAGGTCTGATTTTAAGTCCATTGTGGTGTGTTATTCCTATTCCTTTAAATGCTCCTCATGAGACAGCCCTGGTGTGAATGGATCCTTAAGAATAGAGCTACATTTGCAATTTTTTATTAATCACTGTAAAGTGGCAACTGCTTGCTAACGTAAGGTTTAAGTGGCTTCCTATGATGGAAGCATACAAGTAGCATATGATAGCAATTAATATTGCATGATTGCACAATGCTTCATTTGTATGCAGTTGTTCGCCACCCCAGGCTACTTGTGTAGCTGGCACCATAGGGAACCATTTGTTCAATCACTTTAGAAATCAGTAGATACTTCAAATCTATCTAAACCGCAAAACAAATATTTTATATATTGCAGATTCTTTATATGATGTAGCTGTCTTTGTTTTCAAGCTTTTTCTCCCTATATGTGCATCTGGTAATCCAGCAACAACAAACACACATTTTGTCCTTGGGTATTTTACGCCCACTAACTCCACTTTATATATGGAGAAAGCCATGGTTGTTCCTTAGCCTCAGATGCATATTGCTATATGGCCAGTAGATGGGACTGTGCACCACATCATTATAGCAATTGTTCACTGAGCTGCAGACAAATGTACAACTACAAGTTGTTGACATTGTGTGCGTGCTGTATGGCTTTCATCTGTGATCACTCAGTAAAAAGATAAAGAGTATCCTAACCCAAAAGCAAAATAAATGTAATATGTTGCCGCTTACCAGTCCTTTAGATGCAGTGGCTGCTTTGTCTATGGGGGGGTTGAATCTTGATACTAAATTAGGGCCAATAGACATGCTTTTGTTAAAAAGGCATTGGGAGCTATGCACTGCCATGGGGGACATGTAACACAGCTACAATTTTAAAAAACATATAACATACAGTGGTGAAAGGGTCCTTTTAATGCAACTTCAAGGGTGATATGGAAATCTTTAAAGAGATGCCTTTAACCTCTTGCAAACTGACCACTACACATAAACAGCTGGTCCACTGCCCTGTTGGTACGGAGCGGACGTACCTGTATGCTGTCCCGTCATCTACTGTGTTCATGTCAGAAGAATCGCTCACATAGTAATGCATGAGGATCGGCACGTGCGTATGGCCAAGCACACATCTATGTCTGCAGAAATGTGCATAGATGTTGTCTACATTGAAGATCTACCTTGGCTGATACAATGGTGCCTGGACCTCAGCTGGGTTAGCCCCCCCCATATCAAAATTTTTGAACAAAACATA